AACATTTCACCATTTGTTTTCTCCATCCATCACTCTAGAGAATAATTAGCTGAAAATGGTAACTTCTGTTAATTGTGCCTGCTCCCTCCACACTGGACCCTAAGGAAACATTTAAGAGAATCTTTAGCTGGAAGCACCTCTCTTGCAGCAATGGCCAGTAGGAACCATGGTCAAAAAGCACAGAGCCTAGGGGGAGTGAACGTCTGCATCCTGAATGCCGTATCCTCTAACTTCTGAAAGAATTCTACGCACATCTGGGGATCAAGAGCATGGTCACCATACAGGTCCAGGAGAAGGCAGCACCTCACAGACTTTACCAAGACACACCTATCAGGAGCCTGACACCTGCAAGAATATTTGGGTGGGTAAAACCAGAATGGGGGCAACGTGGCTTCCATGCTTGAAATTCTTTCTCCCTATTCTTTTTTCTTCGTTTGCAACTCTGCTCTCATATACATTCAACCCAGACATTTCATGCACTCATGCTCAACACCTATTTTTTTTTTTCTAACAATAACCATTCTCTCTCTTCCCTACCCCAAGGAGAATGTTTGACTTTTGGCAGAAACCAAAGTATCTGAGCTGAAAGAAAAGCATTTAACATAGAATTTCAAAGACTAACCAGTGGGTGGAGTGAGGAATAGAGGGCATGGAGATTTTCAATAGCTTTCACCTGGACCATGGAGTCCAAATTTCTCACCTCCCAGATGATCCCATTTTCCTGTGAAAGATTTTTAGTTAGCAAAATACCTCAGGGTATAATAATAATTATTCATTCTTAACATAACAACTTCTTTTTTTGAGAGCTTCCTATGTGATACTTTATTACGTTCTTTTCGCCATAATTAAAGAGGTACAAAAACCCTATGATGTGATGATCATTCCCACTTCACTGATGAAAACACAGACACATAGAAGCTAAGTAATTTGCCAAAAATCACAAAGCTAGGAAGTGGTGGAACCAAACACTACTCTGCTTCTCATAATTAGTGTATACTTTTCCCATTGTTATTCATCAGAGATGATTAAAACTGTGCTTAGTCTGAAATAGAGTAGCCAGGGAGAGCTGATGTAATTTTACTCCAAAGCAATTTGATGGTGCTCTTTTGCATAAAATGGAGCCCTGGTGGCATAGTCTTTAAAGAGCTTGCTGCTAACGGAGATGTCTGCAGTCTGAACCCATCAACTGCTCCACAGGAGAAAGATGTAGCAACCTCCTTCTGTAAAGATTACAGCCTTGGAAACTTTATGGGGCAGTTATATTCTGTGCTATAGGGTCACTATGAGTTGAAACTGACTTGATGGCAAGGGATATTTTGCATAGATACACAATTTAACAGCTTTTTGAAATATTTCAACTGTCCTGAAATGTCACCTTTGCAGAGCCAGGGGATATTAATGATTATAAAAGTTGAGGTAAGGAGTGATTTATTTTAGCTACAGTTGATATTGGGCCAGTGTGACCTTTTACCCCAGCAACTCTTATTTTGGAATTCCTGGGTGGCACAAACTGTAAGGCGAGCTTGGCTACTAACTGAAAGGTTGGTGGTTCGAATCCACCCAGAGGTGACTGGGAAGAAGGGCCTGGCGATCTGCTTCCGAAAGAAAACTCTACGAAGTGCAGTTGTACTCTGCAACACATGGGGTTGCCATGAGTCAGAATTGACTGCATGGTAATTTTTCAATTTTTTATTTTACTCTTATTTTGCTTATAATTTTGAAATTATCTTCAAACTTTTAACAACTTATTCATTAATTGCTTTAAATTGTATAGTGCTAATGACTAAGAAGATAAAGCTGAAAGAGACACAAATGTTGTATATAAATGTGTAGGACAGTGTCACTGTTAAATACCTGACCCTGGGGCCAGTCTACCAAAGTGGTTTCCTAGCCCTGTCACTTACGTAAGCTCTGGGGCCACGGAGAAGTGTCCAAACTTCCTGTGTCTGTTATTAACATGGGATTGTTGTGAGGATTTAAGGGGTTAATATATATGTACTGGAAAAACGACAAGGAATGTAAGTGCTCGTATGTCTTACACATTATTATTATCATTGATGAAGATAGAGATAAACAGAAGAGTAGAAATTTACCAGACTGAGCCAGCTACAGTTCATCTGCCTGTCTGACAGTTCAAAGCTGTCAGCACGCAAACTCTTTTTTTAATAAAATTAGCACATGTCATGTCATAATTCCTGAGTTCCAATAAGGATCAACATTTATTTCACATTTTGGGGCCTCTTATTTCTGATTAAATTCATTTGAAAGGTCTAGCTAGGATTTTGGAAGAAAGATGAGGCAGTCTGCTTCTGTAAAGTTTTACAGCCTTGGAAACTCTACGAGGGCAGTTCTACTCTCTCCCATAGGGTTGCTGCGAGTCAGAATTGACTTGACAGCAGTGAGTCCGGAGTCTAGACCTAGGACTTAAAATGGTATAATATTCTAATGAACAAGCTCTCAGCCACACCCGCACAAAAAGTGCTGAAGTGTAAATAACTTCAGGAGCCACTGAGCAAAGGGTCCCCATTGTCTTGCTTTTTACAAATGGGTCACTGTGTTCCCCAAATTTTTAAAATATGGACTTTTTTCCTTCTTCCCTTTCTTTCTCTTTTTTGTTCCTCCTTTATTTTCTTCCACTTCCTTCCTACCCTTCCTCTCTCCTTTCCTCTCTCTCTCTCCCTCCATCCCTCTCTGCTCCATCCTTCTCTCCTCCATTCCTTCCTTCCTTCCTTTCCTCCTTCCCTCCTTTACTACTTGCAAAGAGTAATAAATGAAAATAACAAGTTTAGAACACGCTTTCCTTTGCTAATTTGAGAAGTTTACACCTGGCAATAGTTCTATGAACATTCCAAACCTCAGTGACACTATTTGCTTCTGAAAGGTCCGAAGTAAACCTGAAGGCAACATTTTCAGATCCCAGGAGAAGTGCTATTGCCTCAGGGTTTCTGGATCTCATGGGACCTGAGGCTGCTTCAGCAGAAGTCATGAGGACAAAGAGTGATGCCCATAGAAAGAGGTTGGATATTTTTCTCACCTTAACTTAACCTATTTTAGCACTCAGAAACTCAAACTCTGCTTCTCCTTCTATGATAGAAGACTTCCTTACATAAAAAAAAAAAAAAAAATGTAATGTCTCTCCAAAACGGGATGGCGATATTTCAAAGAATGAAACAACCTCTCAAAATTTTCACATAGCCCCCTGAGTGTGATTATTTTCCAAAATTAAAAAAAAACCCATGCTGGTAGCATACAGCGTAAAAATTTATGCACTACGAGAAAGAAATTAAAGAGCCTGGGTGGCACAAGCAGTTTGTGATTAGTTGCAAACCCATAGGTTGGCACCTCAAACCCATCCAGTGGCACCGTGGAAGAAAGGCTTGGTGAACTGCTTCCATAAAGCTTACAGCCAAGAAAACCCTTTGAAGCAGTTCTACTTTGTAACACTTGGGGCTGCCATCATTTGGGAGCTGACTTGACAGCAGCCAACAACAACAGAAATGAAAGATGAAATTCTTAGTTGAAAGCATTTATCTTAGTCTTAGGCTCTGACAAAGCTGGGGGATTCCTTCAACAAATGTGTGCCCTTCCCGTAGAGTGCGTGACCCATTGGAGGCATCAAGGAAAATATAGGTGATGAGTATGGTTTTGCTTAGGAATGGATATAGCTGTATTCAATCCTTCTGTTGGCTCTCAAAATAATATATACTCCAGTAAAAAAAAAAAAAAAATCTCAATTCCCACATTAATTATTTAGGGCTGTGATTCTTATAACGTGCTCTCTGGACAAGTAGCACAACCTAGAAACTTGTTAGAAATGCAAACTCTCAGATTGCTTTCCTGACCTACTCTATCAGAGAGTCTGGACGTGAGCCCCAGCAAGCGGTATTACCAATTCCTCAGGGTGATTTCCAAGCACGCTAAAGTATGATTACACCGTGGGATCTCTTGGGGAGTTTTAACAAACACTAATGCCTAGGTCCCAGCCCTAGATACTCTGATTCAATTGGTTTGAGCTTCAGGCAGGCCAATGGAATTGTTACCAGTGTCCTAGATGACCGAAATATACGGCTATGGTTGCAAACCTGTGCTTTAGAGGGATAATTTTCAGTCTGATATGAGTAAGTCACAGAAAGATAGAGAGAAATCCGTGCCGGTAACTCTCCTCCCCCACCGTTCTCCCCATATAAAAGAGTATAGGAAAGCAAAACATTGAAGATCCCTGTTGGATGAATTTGGGTAACTTGCCCTGATGCAGAATAATAGACAAAATGCAGGGAGTTCCTGCCACTCTTCTTCCCTTTTCTCCCTGCCTCCCAAATTTTAGAAACTGTTGTTTCACATGAGAGTTTTCATAGTATCTTGCTACTCAGTTAAATTCTGGGCATATAGTTGTAGAGGATGTTTTATTTCTATGTATTCTATTTTTTTACAACCTTATTTACTGACTGTATCGACATTAGGCTAAGACTTTAAATAGAGTCATAGTTTACAATAAAATTATTTCCTCCGTTCATCAATTTCTTTGGACCTGATTATCTTGGTGATAGTCAACACTTTAAAAGTACTGAGTCTTTCAACTCATAAACATGGTTTATCTGTCAATTTATTTAGGTATTTGACATTTTGCTAGAGTCTTATGATTTTCTCCATTTGAATGTTGCTTATCTTTTGTTAAATTTATTCCTAGGTTGATTTTAAGTTCCATTTTTTGAAAACTTTCTAGATATGTTTTGCTGGAATTTAGACATTAAATTGATTTTTGAACATTGATACTTTTTGTGTATGTTAATTTAGCAAAACTCACTAATTCTAATGATTTACCTGTACATTCTTTTGGATTTTTTTTCATAGACTTTCAGTCTATCAGGACTGTCAATTAATTCTAGTACCTTAGGCACAGAGGTATTAGATAACTTGTTCAGAATCTTAGAGCTTGCAGGTAGAAGGACCACAAAAAACAGTTGCATGATCTTAAGTTCATACTCTTAGGCACTCACCTAACCACAGGGGTCAAAATCCTATTAATAATATCTTTAAATTTCCACAGCATTTTATACAAGAGGTTTTAAAAATGTTGTTATACTTTCTGTCTAAGACTATGATGAGTTAATAATGAAACGTGTAATTACCCTCTTTTACATGTGAGAAAATTGACACACAGATCACTGTAGCTATATAGGGGAAAAGTTAACCAGGGTTAATTCCTGTAACACGGTCCAATATTTCTCTCTGTTCTGTGTTCAGTGTGAGTAGGTGGTTTATGTCCATAGAAACTGGAATAACAATTGACCTAGAGATTTATTCTCTTCTTTGCCTACAGATCCCAGGAGCACTAACGTAATGGCTGGGGGAAGAAATAGTACAATTACCAGGTTCATTCTTTTGGGATTCTGTGAATTTCCAAAGCTCACCATTGTCCTGTTTTCAATATTCCTAGGGATCTACCTCCTGACAGTGTCTTGGAACCTGGGTCTCATCACCCTCATCAGAGTGGATTTCCATCTGCACACACCCATGTACTTTTTCCTCAGTAACCTGTCCTTTCTAGATATCTGCTATGTTTCCACTATAGCCCCCAGGATGCTCTCAGACTTCTTCCAGAAGGAGAAATCCATCTCCTTTATGGGGTGCACCATGCAGTACTTCTTCTTGTCTAGCCTGGGTCTGACCGAGAGCTGTGTTCTGGCATCCATGGCTTATGATCGATATGCTGCCATTTGTAACCCTCTGCTCTACACAGCCATCATGTCTCCAACTCTCTGTCTGCAAATGGTGGCAGGATCTTGCATCAGTGGATTCTTTGGCTCATTTATCCAACTGTGTGCATTACTTCAGCTCCATTTCTGTGGACCAAATGTCATTAACCATTTCTTCTGTGACCTGCCCCAACTGATGATCCTATCTTGCTCTGATACATTTTTCTTAGAAGTTATTGTCTCTGTACTCACAGTGATCTTTGGACTGACTTCTGTGCTGGTTATCATGATATCCTATGGTTATATCATTGCCACCATTTTAAAGATCACTTCAGCTGAAGGCAGATCCAAGGCTTTCAACACCTGTGCTTCTCACCTGGCAGCAGTGACGCTATTCTATGGCTCAGGCACCTTTGTCTATTTATGCCCCAGCTCTGACGATTCTCTTAGCCAAAGCAAGCTTGCTTCTATTGTATACACTGTGGTGATTCCCATGTTAAATCCATTGATCTATAGTCTCAGAAATCAGGAAATCAAAGATGCCCTCAACAGACGGAAGAAGAAAGTTTTCTCCTGACATTATTTTTTTACAAGGTTTGCATATCTTATTTCAAGATAAGTGACATAAAACATGAATATAGGTTTTAAATGTATATATAGTTTAGATCACTTCAAGATTGGTGGAAGATATTACCTGAGTCTGACTAGACTTTCATCTATTAATGAACAGTAATTACTGGTGTTTATTAATGGCGGTCTTTTTTTTTTATTGACCTTTAGATGAAGGTTTACAGAACAAACTATCTTCTCATTAAACAGTTAGTACATATATTGTTTTATGGAATTGGTTAACAACCCCATGACATGTCAGTACTCTCCCTTCTTGACCTTGAGTTCCCTGTTACCAGATTCCCTGTTCCCCCCTGCCTTCTAGTCTTTGCCCTTGGGCTGGTGCGGCCCTTTAGTCTCATTTGTCCTATAGGTCTGTCTAGTCTTTGGCTAACAGGTGATCTCCAGAGTGACGTCAGGACTGGGCTAAAAGGGTGTCTGGAGGCCATACTCTCAGACTTTCTCCAGTCTCTGTCAGGCAAGAAAGTCTGGCTTTTTTTTTTTTTTTTTTTTTAATTGTACTTTAGATGAAGGTTTACAGAACAAATAGTTTCTCATTAAACAGTTAGTATACATATTGTTTTATGGCAACAGTTAACAACCCCATGACATGTCAGCACTGTTCCTTCTTGACTTTGGGTTCCCTATTACCAGCTTTCATGTCCCCTCCTGCCTTCTAGTTCTTGTCTCTGGACTGTTGTGCCCCATTAGTCTAGTTTTCTTTTATGGGGCTGTCTAATCTTTGGCTGAAGGTTGAACCTCGGGAGTGACTTCATTACTGAGCTAAAAAGGTATCCGGGGGCCGTACTCTCAGGTTTTCTCCAGTCTCTATCAGGTCAGTAATTCTGGTCTTTTTTTGTAAGTTAGAATTTTGTTCTACATTTTTTCTCCAGCTCTATCTGGGATCCTCTGTTGTGATCCCAGTCAAGCAGTCAGTGGTGGTAGCTGGGCACCATCTAGTTGTACCGGACTCAGTCTGGTGGAGGCTGTGGTAGTTGAGGTCTATTAGTCCTTTGGGCTAAACTTTCCCTTGTGTCTTTAGTTTTTTTTCATTTTCCCTTGCTCCTGAAGGGGTGAGACCACTGGAGTATCTTACATAGTGGCTTACAGGCTTTTAAGACTCCAGATGTTACTCAACAAAGTAGAATGTAGAACATTTTCTTTATAAACTATGTTATGCCAATCGAGCTAGATGTTCCCTGAGACCATGGTCCCCACAGCCCTCATCCCAGCAATTCAGACCCTCAGGGAGTTTGGATTTCTCTGTGGAGCTTCCATGACCTAACCCTGAAGAAATTGTGCTGGCTTCCCCAGTTTTGTGTACTGTCTTACCCTTCACCATAGTTACCACTTGTCTAATGTCTATGTAGTGTTTTTCCACCCCCACCCCTCCCCTCCCTCATAACCATCAAAGATTGTTTCTGTTTGTGTGTAAACCTTTTCATGAGTCTTTATAGTAGTGGTCTCATATGATATTTGTCCTTTTGTGATTGACTTATTTCACTCAGTGTAATGCCCTCCAGATTCATCCATGTTGTGAGATGCTTCACAGATTCATCATTGTTCTTAATCGTTGCCTAGTGTTCCACTGTGTGTATGTACCATCATTTGTTTATCCATTCATCTGTTGATGGGCATCTAGGTTGTTTCCATCTTTTTGCTATTGTGAACAATGCTGCAATGAACATGGGTTTGATACGTCTATTCATGTGATGGCTCTTATTTCTCTAGGATATATTCCTAGGAGTGGGATTGCTGGATCATATGGTATTTCTATTTCTAGCTTTCGAAGGAAGAGCCATATCCTTTTCCAAAATGGTTGTACCATTTTGTATTCCCACCAGCAGTGCATAAGAGTTCCAATCTCCCCGCAGCCTCTCCAACATTTGTTATTTTCTGTTTTTTTGATCTGTGTGAGTAATGCCGGGGTGAGATGGTATCTCATTGTGGTTTTGATTTGCATTTCCCTAATGGCTATTATCACGAGCATTTCCTCACGTGTCTGTTAGCTACTTCAATGTCTTCTTTGGTGAAGTGTCTGTTCATTTCCTTTGCCCATTTTTTAATTAGATTATTTGCCTTTTTGTGGTAGACATGTTGGATTTTCCTGTAGATTTTAGAGATTAGACCTTTGTCGGATTTGTAATAGCCCCCAATTTTTTCCCAGTCTGTAGGTTCTCTTTTTACTCTTTTGGTGAAGTCTTTTGATGAGCATAAGTGTTTAATTTTTAGAAGATCCCAGTTATCTAGTTTATCTTCTGGAATTTGTATGTTGTTAGTTATGGTTTGTATCTTGTTAATGCCATGCTTTTGGTCTCTAGCAGTGATCCTATTTTTTCTTCTATAATCTTTATAGTGTTGGTTTTAGACTTAGGTCTTTTATCCCTTTAGAATTAGTTTTTATATATGTTGTGAGATATGGGTCCTATTTCATATTTTTGCTGATGGACATCTAATTTTGCCAACACCATTTGTTAAAAAGACCATCTTTTCATCTTTTCACCATTTGATGGACTTTGGGCCCCGTTGAAGATCAGGTGACCATAGGTGGATGGACTTACTTTTGGGTTCTCAATTCTGTCCCATTGGTCAATGTATCTGTCATTGTTCCAGTACCAGGCTGTTTTGACTACTGTAGCTGAATAGTAGGTTCTGAGGTCAGGTAATGAGAGTCCTCCTACTTTTTTCTTCTTCAATAATGCTTTACTTATCCAAGGCCACTTTCCTTTCCGTATAAAGTTAATGATTATTTTTTCCATCTCTTTAAAGAACGTTGTTGATATTTGGATTGGGATTGCATTGTGTTTGTAGATTGCTTTGGGTAGAATTGTCATTTTCACAAAGTTGAGTCTACCTATACATGACCACTGTATGTTTTTCCATTTACATTCATCTCTTTTGGTTTCTTGCAGTAGTGTTTTGCAGTTTTCTTTGTATAGTTCTTTTACATCCCTGGTTAGATTTATTCCTAAGTATTTTATTTTTTTAGGGGCTGTTATAAATGATATTGCTTTCCTGATTTCCTTTTTGCCATTCTCTTTGTTGCTGTATAGGAATCCAACTCAGTTTTGTGTGTTTATCTTGTATCCTGCTACGCTGCTGAATCTTTCTGTTAGTTCCAGTAGTTTTCTCATGGAGTCTTTTGGGTTTTCCATATATAGTATCATATCATCTGCAGATATGGACAGTTTTACATCTTCATTACCAACTTGGATGCCCTTTATTTCTTTTTCTTGCCTTTAGCTCTAGCTAGGACTTTCAGCAGTGTTAAATAGGAGTGGTGATAAAGGACATCCTTGTCTCATTCCTGTTCTCACGGGAAATGTTTTCAGCTTCTGTTCATTTAGAATGTCAGCTGTTGGCGTTGCATAGGTGCTTTTCATTATGTTGAGAAATTTCCCTTCTATACCTATTTTGTTGAGAGTTTTTATCAGGAATGTGTGTTGGACTTTGTCGAATGCTTTTTCTGCATCTATTGAGATGATCATGTGATTGTTTTCCTTTATTTTATTTATGTGGTGGATTACATTGACTGATTTTCTAATGTTGAACCATCTTTGCATACCTGGTATGAATTCCACCTGCTCATGGTATATTTTTTTTTTGATATGATGCTGAATTCTGTTGGCTAGAATTTTGTTGATAATTTTTGCATCTATATTCATGAGAGATATTGGTCTGTAATTTTCTTTTTTTGTGGTTTCTTTGCCTGGTTTAGGTATCAGGGTTATGCTGCCTTCATAGAATGAATTTGGAAGTATCCCTTCCTTGTCTATATTCTGAAATAATTTGAGTAGTACTGGCGTAAGCTCTTCTCTGAGTGTTTGGTAGAATTCTTCAGTGAAGCCATCCAGGCGACGGATTTTTTTTTGTTGGGAGATTTTTTTATTACCTTTTCAATCTCTTCTCTTGTTATGGGTCTGTTCAGACATTCAGCATCAATTTGTGATAGTTTGGGTAGGTAGTGTGTTTTTAAAAATTTGTTCATTTTCTCTAGATTTTCAAATTTGTTGGAGCATTGTTTCTCATAATACTGTTATGATGCTTTTTATTTCAGTTGGGTCTGTTGTACTGTCCTCCTTTTCATTTCTCATTTAGGTTATTTGCATCCTCTCCTGTTTTTCTTTTGTCAGTTTGGCTAGGGGTTGGTCGATTTTGTTGATCCTTTCAAAGAACCAACTTTTGGTTTTGTTGATTCTTTTTATTGTTTTTCTATTCTCTATTTGATTTATTTCTGCTCTAATCTTTATTATTTCCTTTCTTCTGGTGGCTGTTGGCTACCTTTGCTGTTGTCTTTCTATCTGTTCTGGTTATATACCTGATGTTTTGATTTTGTCCTTTTCTTCTTTTTCCATGTGTGCATCTATTGCTGTAAATTGACCTCTGATCAGTGCCTTTGCTGTGTCCCAAAGGTTTTGGTATGATGTCTTTTCATTCTCATTTGATTCTAGGAATTTTTTGATTCCATCTTTGATTTCTTCTATTACCCAATGGTTCTTAAGCAGGGTGTTACTTAGTTTCCATGTAATTAATTTTTTTCCTTGCTCTTCCTGTTGTTAATTTCTACTTTGATGGCATTGTGATCAGAGAAGATACTTTGTATTATGTCAATGTTTTGGATTTGTTGAGGGTTACTTTGTGGCCTAAGATGTGGTCTATTCTGGAGAATGTTCCATTTGTGTTGGAAAAGAATGTGTACTTTGCAGCTGTTGGATGGTGTGTTCTATATATGTGTATGAGTTGAAGTTGGCCGATTGTGGCCTTTAGATCTTCTGTATCTTTGTTGAGTTTCTTTCTAGATGTTCTGTCCTTTACCAAGAGTGGTGTGTTGAAGTGTCCTACTATTATAGTGGAACTGCCAATTTTTCTTTTCAGTGCTGTTAATGTGTGTTTTATGTGTTTTGGAGCCCTGTCATTGGGTACACAGATATTAATTATGGTTATGTCTTCCTGATGGTTCATTCATTTAATCATGATGTAGTTAGTGCCCTTCTTTGTCTTTTATATTGGATTTTGTTTTAAAGTCTATTTTATGTGAGATTAGTATT